AAAAAAAGGGTAATGTATTTTTATAGGGCTTGTTCACACTTGTTTTAATCTCTAAAGAGCGATCCATGTTCAGATTGCTCTTCAGAGAGCATTTGACAGGCGTTGAGGAGGGTGCATTGCCTCTTCATCGCATGCTGGAATGCTGCACTAGCGTGCTGCAACCACTTGCATTGCACAAAGCTCCTGGGCGATTGCAGAGTGGCCCCATTCACTTGAATGGGTCAAGTCAGCAGAATTGACAGGGGGTATAATTACTGCTGTGGTTGTAAAGGCCTCTGCAGCTCCAGGGGAAGTGGATGGGAAGGGGGGTTGAAGTAAACACATGGCTTAACCATGGTGTTTTACTGCCCCTCACCTACTAGTGTGAGCCTGGGTTCACAATGTGCGGTGCGGTATATCGCATGTGATTCGCACAGGAATTGCACTGCATTCCTGTGCAAATCACATGCGATATGTGTGCGACGGGATTGGAGCCATACATGTTGTATGGCTCTATTTGCACCGCACCAAAAAGGTGCAGGACCATTTTTTTTGGGTCCGCACTAGAATCAGATCACATGGGTAGTCACACCTATGCGATCCGATTCTGCACATCACACCGCATTTTTTTAAACTACTTGCTGTCTGCCCACCAGCAATGAGCGGACAACGGCGGCTCTGGGCAAAGCAACGTCATTTATGTCACTTTCTATTTCAGGGTCAATTAGAGCCCTTCCCAGCCAGGGTCAGTTAGCGTTAGATTGCCCACACGCTATCGCAAACATGCTATAGGTCGCTGATCACCCCCATTACAAGTATAGTGTTTGTACGAATCAGTATAATGATCATGAACAGAACTCTACTAGTGCCTGCTTTGTATAAACTCCTCAAAAACACAGTGTTAGCAGGATCGGCCCCATTTGCTGCCAGCACTAGCGTTTAGCCCCTCCGCTGTTTTTCACTAAAGATTTGCACCAATTGATTGTGGGCCAAGGCAATTTATACGCACAACAATACATGGCCGCCCACCCAAATTCAGCTCTTGCCAGGCAATTCGCATGGGAACCTATCATGGTTTCTGAATTTAAAACTTTTTGGAGCCTAACCCTCAACATGGGCATTACAAAAAAGAGTGAATTGCGGTCATATTGGTCCACAGACCCGTTTCATCATATACCCTTGTTGTCTGCTGTTACATATATGCCCAAGATGGACCAGCAATGTAGTGGTATGTCGCTGGACGTTGAGTGGTTATATTAGGAAGATGCCTGCAGCCAGGGGCGGACTGACAACTCATGAGGCCCCCGGACAATAGGGGATCATGGGGCCCCTGTGTCCTTGCCCAAACTCAAAAAAGCCTATGAAAAAGGTACCAGGGGCATCTCATGGGGCCCCCTACTGACCCCGGGCCCTCGGGCAGTGCCCAAGTTTCCATAATGGTCAGTCCGCCTCTGCCTGCAGCTACAGGCATCATCCTGGTATCGTTTTTTTTAGCTAGCGGTCGGCTTTCATGTAAAAACAAACCTAGCTACTAATTAGGCACTGGATTGCTTTTACAAGCAGCGGGAAGGGACACCCCCACCCCTCCCCCGCCTTCCAAGGTGTTCTTGTGCTCTCCCGACCCACAGGAGAACCCAAAAATGCATCCGGCAGTTCCGCTGGCTGATAATAGAGCAGATTGGAGACTGGAATGCCTCCATCATCTCTATGGTCTAAGAGGCTGGAAGCTAGAAGCATTTCATCATTTCCGTTTTGCCAGATATAAACAGCGCCATTTTAATATTGGGAAAGCATCTGATCACACAAATATTGGTGTCACCAGATGCTTTAAGGGCAGAGGAGATATCTGGAGTCTAATAGATTTTTCAGAAAAGAATACCTGTTACTGCCAATTGCTGTCACAGTTCCCTATGATAACAATAAAAGTGGTTAGAAGAGTGGGTGATGTGTGGCATGAGCTTCTAATGTTGGCCCTGAAATGCCAGGATAGTAGAAGCGACCCCTCCAAATGACCCCGTTTTGGAAAGTAGACACTCCAAGGTATTGCGAAGAGGCATGGCGAGTATTTTGCAGATCTCATTTGTTGCCACAAGTTTTTGGAAAAAGAAAAATGTATTTTTTCTTTTCTTTTATTCTTTTTAAAAAACCCTGTGACAAAAATGAGATCTGCAAAATACCATGCCTCTTATCAAATTCCTTGGATGGTCTACTTTCCAAAAAGGGGTCATTTGGGTGGGGGGTTGTACTATCCTAGCATTTTAGAGCCTCTGCAACTGTGATAGGTAATGGGGAAGTGATATGAGGAAATATGCCTTTTGAAAGCCTGGAGGTGGTCATTGGATTTTGGGGGCTTGTATGTAGCTAGGCTGTCAAGAAGTCTCTCACATGTGGTATCCCCATACTCAGAAAAAGTAGGAGAATATGTTTTGGGGTATAATTCCACATACAGTTAGGTCCATAAAGTCAGGTCCATAAATGGGACATCGACACAATTCTTACATTTTTGGCTCTATACACCACCACAATGGATTTGAAATGAAATGAACAAGATGTGCTTTAACTGCAGACTGTCAGCTTTAATTTGAGGGTATTTACATCCAAATCAGGTGAACGGTGTAGGAATTACAACAGTTTGCATATGTGCCTCCCACTTGTAAAGGGACCAAAAGTGATGGGATAATTGGCTTCTTAGCTGTTCCATGGCCAGGTGTGTGTTATTCCCTCATTATCACAATTACAATGAGCAGATAAAAGGTCCAGAGTTCATTTCAAGTGTGCTATTTGCATTTGGAATCTGTTGCTGTCAACTCTCAAGATGAGATCCAAAGAGCTGTCACTATCAGTGAAGCAAGCCATCATTACGCTGAAAAACAAAACAAACCCATCAGAGAGATACCAAAAACATTAGGCGTGGCCAAAACAACTGTTTGGAACATTCTTAAAAAGAAGGAACGCACCGGTGAGCTCAGCAACACCAAAAGACCCGGAAGACCACGGAAAACAACTGTGGTGGATGACCGAAGAATTCTTTCCCTGGTGAAGAAAACACCCTTCACAACAGTTGGCCAGATCAAGAACACTCTCCAGGAGGTAGGTGTATGTGTGTCAAAGTCACCAATCAAGAGAAGACTTCACCAGAGTGAATACAGAAGGTTCACCACAAGATGTAAACCATTGGTGAGCCTCAAAAACAGGAAGGCCAGATTAGAGTTTACCAAACAACATCTAAAAAAGCCTTCACAGTTCTGGAACAACATCCTATGGACAGATGAGACCAAGATCAACTTGTACCAGAGTGATGGGAAGAGAAGAGTATGGAGAAGGAAAGGAACTGCTCATGATCCTAAGCATACCACCTCATCAGTGAAGCATGGTGGTGGTAGTGTCATGGTGTGGGCATGTATGGCTGCCAATGGAACTGGTACTCTTGTATTTATTGATGATGTGACTGCTGACAAAAGCAGCCGGATGAATTCTGAAGTGTTTCGGGCAATATTATCTGCTCATATTCAGCCAAATGCTTCACAACTCATTGGACGCTTCACAGTGCAGATGGACAATGACCCAAAGCATACTGCAAAAGCAACCAAAGAGTTTTTTAAGGGAAAGAAGTGGAATGTTATGCAATGGCCAAGTCAATCACCTGACCTGAATCCGATTGAGCATGCAATTCACTTGCTGAAGACAAAACTGAAGGGAAAATGCCCTAAAGAACAAGCAGGAACTGAAGACAGTTGCAGTAGAGGCCTGGCAGAGCATCACCAGGGATGAAACCCAGCGTCTGGTGAGGTCTATGCGTTCCACACTTCAGGCTGTAATTGACTGCAAAGGATTTACAACCAAGTATTAAAAAGTGAAAGTTTGATTTATGATTATTATTCTGTCCCATTACTTTTGGTCCCTTAACAAGTGGGAGGCACATATGCAAACTGTTGTAATTCCTACACCGTTCACCTGATTTGGATGTAAATACCCTCAAATTAAAGCTGACAGTCTGCAGTTAAAGCACATCTTGTTCGTTTCATTTCAAATCCATTGTGGTGGTGTATAGAGCCAAAAATGTTAGAATTGTGTCCATGTCCCAATATTTATGGGCCTGACTGTATATTTGGACACAGGCAGAATTTTCATTCTTTTGGCTCTGTATTCCACCAGAATGAATTAAAACGAAGCAATCCAAATTAATTTGAAGTGCAGACTTTCAGTGTTAATTTATGGGGTTGAGCATAAATATCAAGTACAAATTTTAGGAACTGCAACCATCTTTCTATGTTCTTTGTTTGTGGGTCTTTCTGCCTTTAGTTTTGCCTTCAGCAAGAGAAATGCATGCTCAATGGGGTTGAGATCAGGTGATTGACTCGGCCATTGCAGAGTATTTCACTTATCTTCCTTCAAAAGCTAAAATTGTGCCTGTGCCCAAATATATATATGGACCTAAAGGTATACCCATGGCATATATCATTGGACAACTTTATATTTGCCGGGTCTTTCTCCGCCCCCCACAGCAGGTTTTGGAGCATAGCAGAGGGGCGTGGCTGGGAGGTTTGCCTGGTCTTTCCGCCCCCCCCCACAGCAAGTATTGGATTAGTACAGAGCAGAGGGGCGTGGCTGGGAGGTTTGCCTGGTCTTTCTCCGCCCCCCACAGCAGGGGGCGTATTTTGCCGGGTCTTAGTACAGAGCAGAGGGGCGTGGCTGGGAGGTTTGCCTGGTCTTTCTCCGCCCCCCACCCAGGTGGGGGATTGAATCAGTACGGAGAGGCGGGTTTGCGGGTCTGTCTCCGCCCCCAACAGCAGTCAATTAGTGGCAGATGGGCGTGGCTGGAGGAGCGGAGGGAGCCCCCCCCACAGCAGGTATTGGATTAGTACAGAGCAGAGGGGCGTGGCTGAGACCTTTGCCTGCCTTCCCGCCCCTCCCGGGGGGATTGACATCCGGAGGGAGCCGGTGTGATGTACTGACGTTCTAACCTCGCCTTCCCCCACATCCGTCCCCCCGTCCTCGCACCTTCCCACTCCCCCGGTGTCCTCCGTCTCCTCTCCCCCGGTGTCGGTATGGAGTACTTGCTCCAGGTGAAGCTGGGCTGCCTGTTCGGTCTGCTCCTCCTGACCCTGTTCTTCGGGCTGGTGCCGTCCAGGATCCGATGTTTCCGGGCCGCCTCTGGGACGGGTGAGTTCTGATAGGAAGCTCCCTCCCCCCACACACTTTGTAACTTTTGATTCCCCACCATAGAAGGGAGGCAGTCACGTGACGGTCATGTGATGGCGGGGATTGGAGGATGTGGACATCCATGATCCATGGAGGATATGATCAGACTGGGACAGAGGGAGAGATGGGTCACGTGTGACTGACTTCACGTATGATACACAGGTCATACACCATACAATCTGTACAGCACGATGTCACCTGAGGACAGATCTAAACACTCTGTTCCATTGGTACCCAATCTGGCAGAGGCTTGTGTTACATGGTTGTTGGTAGATTTGTAGGAGATTGTACAATCAGATTGTATGGTGAGTGTAAAGTGTACACATGGGCCAAATGTCCGGCGGCAGTGACTGGTTCAGCAGAAACTGGCGACATTAAGCCCCTGTGTAGGCAGCCAATCCAACAGAATCAGGTTGTCCAGCCGGCTGCTGTCAAAGGGGCATGACCGAAAAAGGTCTCCCGATTGCCCCCCCCCAATCCCCGGTCAGAGCACAGTCGCTCAGTGTTGGAGATCGCTGTACCAACAATGGATAGTTTATACATCTCCTCCTGAGCTGTCAGGTTTTATCGTTCATCCTGCTGGGTTGATCTTAAAAAACACTAGTAGTGTGCTTTAGGCTCCATAAGACTGACTGTACAATCCGATTGCAGTGTATGATCTCCTTTAGATCTACCAGCAACTATGTAGTGCAGGGGCCTGCCTGACTGGACACAGCAATTGGTTGGATTAGGTCGGTCCTCATTATTATTATTATTATACAGGATTTATATAGCGCCAACAGTTTTCTCAGCACTTTACAATATAACTGGAGAAAATACAGCAATGATATAAGAGGGATAGGGGGTCCTGATCCTGGGAGCTTACAATCTAAGGTATGGGAAAGACCAGATGTACTAGGTCGCTGGTGCTCGCCAGTTCACCAAAAGGTAGCCATCCTGATCCTTGGAGCTTACAATCTAAGACGTCCTCATATATAGTGTTGATAGCTGTTGATTGTATGGGCAGATATGTAAGGTGACCATCCATTGTACAATCAGATTGTACAATCTCCTTTACCTTTGCTAAGACTATGTAAAATGAGGGCCAACAATCCATTACATTAGTATCTGATCGGGCTGGCCCTTCTGCACTGTACTAGATGTACACAAAGGTTGTACAGTGTGTGGTCAGCCTGAGATTCGATTTGGTATTCGATCATATCTTGGTGTCATGTGTGTCCAATCAGCACTGCGGAAGCCGATTCATCTGTGTATGGAGGTTCACGCCATGACTGATCCTGTGTCCGATGGGTGAGTGCCCATATCCTAGGCAGCTGCAGACATTCAAGTGGAATTGCAGTGAAAACCTAACTGAGCCCTGGGTCACACTGATGCAGTGTGGAATTTGCAGCGTTTTCTGTACGAATTCGCACTGCATCAGAATCGCTCCCCGTTCATGCGAACCGCTGCGGGTGTGTATGTGAAGGTGTGTAGATGAAGGTGTGTATGTGAAGTTAACAACACCCTAAAATTGGTTGCAAAACACGGTGCAATGTGCAGAATCTGATCACATGGATGCGAATAACCGTGCCATCCAATTCTAATGTGGAAAAAAATGGGTCTGGCACAAAAAATGTATTGCTCAAATCGCACCGCACAGAATTCACATGTGATTTGCTCAGGCATGTGGTGCGGTTCCTGTGCGAATCACATGCGATGTGCTGCAACGCAGAATTGCCGGTCCATTCACACTTGGGCGACTTCAAAATCTGCCATTTTCATTGCAACTTTACAGTGCGACTTTGGCTACGACAAAGGATGATTGTCTGCTGTACAAAGCTGCACACAAGTCGCATGTATAATCAGGTGCGACTTTCCTGCGACTTTGGAGGGTTTACATTCAAGTCTATGGCCCTCAAGTCAAATGAAAGTCAGACTAAAGTATTTCAGGAACTACTCTCAAGTCGCTGTGGCTTGAAGTCACACAGATATGAATAGTACTCATTGGGAATCATGGGGTGCAACTTCTCGTGTGTCATTGGGACCCAAAGTCACGTGACAAGTCGCACAAGTGTGAATGGGCTCTAATTACCTGCTCCCCTCCCCAATCTAAGGCTGCTTTCACACTGATCCCCTTTTATTTATTTTTTTTAATAGCAGAAGAAAATCATGTGACCGTGTGTTCCTCTGGAACTCTTCACACTGATCAGTTGCTGTCTGTTTTTGGTGCAGGTTTGGAGCACCAAGAACACACCTCCCCATTGAAATCGAAGGAAAACGTGTCAAAATGCATAAAAAACACTCCTGCGTTGTGTTTATGGTGCAGTTTTTAAGTCCTGTGTCCTTTTTAAATGTAATTAAAAAAAAAAACAAAAAAACACTGCAAACCCAGCAAAAACGCATATGCGTTTTTTTGGCACGGATCAGTGTGAAAGAAAAGAATGCTATACTTAAGGTGACCATACACGTATAGATTTTCATTCAAAAATGTTAATTTCAAGAATATTCGTTTAATTTTCTAATCATTAGTGGGGTCAAATCGATGTTCATTTTCTACAGCAGTGACGGGAAAATTGGAAGGGGCAGGGAGGAAAACTTTTCTCTATCAAAAAATTTTTTGGCCAGTGTATGTGGTTATCGTTCAGAAATTATATTCATTTTAAAATCAAAACCGAATCTCACCAAACTTTCACCTGATATAAATCTGCTTTCTTAAAGCGGAGTTTCTCACCCTGTCAAAAACTGTATCTGCTGACTTTTAACAGCCGCTCACCTGTCCCTCAGTCCCGCGGTGTGTCCCCCGCAGCCCATTTCACTGACCGTCCTGGATTCCAGGAGGCCGGCATCTTCAGTGTGGGCACCCGACTGAAATAGGTTGTGGCTTCACTCCACTGCACATGCACGAGTAGCGCTGCGCTTCATGAATGGTCCTGTAGTCTTCTGGGACCTGTCACATGTCCCAAAAGACTACAGGGAGGGAGGGAGGGAGAACACCTTCCGATCACCTAGGCGATCAGACCAGAAGTGGGAGGGGGTACCTGTCAAATTCGGGTACCTGCTCCCCCACCCCCCCAAAGGTGCCAATCCTTAATGGGGAGCGGGGGAGCAGTCCTTAAAGCAGAACTTTCCCTTTTGGGTGGAGCTCCGCTTTAACCTACAATTATTCCCTCCATGCTGCCAAAAAGCCTCGTCGTCTCTTCATTTTTAACTCTACTTTCTCCACCTCCACCCAGTACCTCACTCACTGCTCACGAGATTGCCAATCATTTCAAAAACAAGATTGACGCAATTCATAGGGGCATCTCCACTACACAGACATCTATCCCACTTAGTATACCTTATACTAAACCACCCTCAACACTTTCCTCTTTTGACCTTGCTACTACCGAAGAGGTCACTAAGGTTTTCTCAGAAGCCCCCGCCTAACTACTTGCCCCCTGCATCCTGTCCCCTCACAACTACTACGGTCACTCTCTTCTTCCATCCTATGCTCCCTCACTCACATCTTCAATCTTTCCCTCTCTACTGGTGCCTTCCCCTCCCCTCTAAAGCATGCACACATCACTCCCATAATTAAAAAGCCCTCCCTGGAACCCACCAACCTGAACAACTTAACCCATCTCCCTGCTGCCATTTACCTCTAAACTCCTAGAACGCTTAGTCTACAATCACCTGATCTCCCACCTCATCGACAACAACCTTCTTGACCCTTTACTTACAGTCCTTCTTTCGCTCACTACACTCCCACTGAAACTGCTCTACTAAAACTCACTAATGATCTACTAACTGCTAAAACCAATGGCCACTACCCCGTAGTCATGCCAGCCAATGGCCACTACCCCGTAGTCATGCCAGCCAATGGCCACTACCCCGTAGTCATGCCAGCCAATGGCCACTACCCCGTAGTCATGCCAGCCAATGGCCACTACCCCGTAGTCATGCCAGCCAATGGCCACTACCCCGTAGTCATGCCAGCCAATGGCCACTACCCCCGTAGTCATGCCAGCCATTGGCCACTACCCCGTAGTCATGCCAGCCATTGGCCACTACCCCCCGTAGTCATGCCAACCAATGGCCACTACCCCGTACTCTTACTACTTGACCTCTCTGCGGCTTTTGATACTGTTGACCATCCCCTCCTCCTCAAAAAAAAACTCCACTCTCTTGGCCTGTGAGACTCTCCTCTTTCCTGGTTCTCCTCCTACCTATCACAGCGCTCCTTCAGCATTACCTATAACTCTGGTTCCTCCTCTTCACTTCCTCTTTCTGTAGGGGTCCCTCAAGGTTCTGTCCTTGGACCCCTTCTCTTCTCCATCTACACCTCCTCCCTTGGTCACTTGATAAACTCCCATGGCTTTAAGTACCATCGCTATGCTGATGACACAAATCTATCTTTCTACCCCTCACCTCACCCCTTCAGTCTCCTCTCGCATTACTAACCTGCTAAGTAACATATCCGCATGGATGTCACTCCACTTCCTCAAACTAAATCTTTCCAAAACTAAACTCTTAGTATTCCCTTCAGCTTGTGCCCCCTCCCCTGACTTCTCCATCAAGATCAATAACACAATCATCATTCCCTCCCCTCATGCCAGGATACGAGGTGTAATCCTAGACTCCCATCTGTTCTTTCAGTCCCAAATCAAATCGCTGTCCAAATCTTGTAGACTTCACCTCCACAACATCTCCAAGATACACCCGTTCATAACCTTGGGAACTACTAAGCAACTTATTCACTCCCTTGTTATCTCTCGCCTTGACTATTGTAACTCCCTCCTTATTGGCCTACCTCATTGCAGGCTATCCCCTCTTCAGTCTATCATGAATGCTGCTGCTAGACTCATCTACTTTACTAACCGTTCCATATCTGCCACCCCTTTCTGCCAATCCCTTCACTGGCTTCCCATTGCCCAACGGATAAAATTAAAAATATTAACAATAACATATAAAGCCATTTATAACTCTGCCCCACGCTCCTCCTG